AGAGAGAGAGAGAGAGAGAGAGAGAGAGAGAGAGAGAGAGAGAGAGAGAGAGAGAGAGAGAGAGAGATGACGGGATAAAATCACCTCCATGATCCATCCTGACAGTGGGCTGGCACGGCCCGTTCGTGGACACAAGCCCGGTACCGGCCGACCAGGCCACATTTCTGGCGCATTGCAGAAGATAGTCTGTGAACTGTGGGCCGATACTGGTCTACCGGTAGTACCGGGCCAGGGGACCCCCGGGGGCAGACCCGGCCGAGTGGCTGACTCAATTGCAGTCTCAAACTCTGTCGTCGGACCCTTCTGCAAAGGCCGAGTTGTGTAAGTGCATTTCAAACTCGGGCCCTGACTCGACTGCGAAAACAGTGTTTGTAATGCAATTTCTAAACTGTTTTTGTGACTGCCGCGTAGTTACCCCTTTTTTTTTCTCTCTTTATTTTCTCTCTTCTTTTCTCTCCCTTTTTTTTCATTTCATTTTTTGACGAGAGATGGTAAACGGGGGGCCAAATATTTGCTGTTTTCGCCAGCAATTTCGGTGCGGAATTCATCTAAAAATTCAAAAACAAACGATATGGGCCCATAGTGTAAACATAAAAAAAGAGAAAACAGGCTAAAGGAAAGAGAAAACAAACAGTATTCGTATCCAGCGATCCGCTACACAATATTGTATTTAAACGTACCTGTTAGCCGGGGTTGATCCTCCGTCCAGATGTCTATGGTCAAGGTGCCAGTCCAGGTACTTGTCGAACATTAGGAAGTAGGGTGTCTGTTTTCCAACGTCTATCTCAAGATCGACTGACCTTCTGGGAAGGGATAATTGGTAGAAAGAGCCCACGCCAAAACCTTTTCGGTTTTGGCCGCCCAAAGTTGGGCCGTTTGGTACTACCGGCCCAAACAACTTTCCCCTGGGTGAAAGGCGCCTTCGCGCCGTGGCCAACATCTCCCAGGGCCTGTTTTTACCGGTTCAAGAATTTGGCGCTGTTTCTGCGCCAGATTCATGAACCGGTAGGGCCCTTCTTTTTCAAAATCGCGTAAGTGGGCCTCATTCGATACATCAGCGTTACCACCCCCGGCCTCTTTTACATCAAAATGAATCTGGCGCTGTTATGCGCCAGATTCATGATCCGGTAGGACCCTTGGAGCGACGCGTGGGCCCTGTAGTACCCCAGATGCAAGTCATTGGGCCGGTAGTACCAAACGGCTAAACTTTGGGCGCCCAAAACCGAAAAGGTTTTGGTGTGGGCGCCTTCTACCGATTATCCCTGTAAGGTTCACACGATTGTCTTTCCTCGTGTAGCCGATACGAATACTGTTTGTTTGTTTGTTTTTTCGTTTTTTTTTTCGTTTTTTTTTTTCGTTTTTTTTTCGGTTTTTTTTTTCGGTTTTTTT